CCACAGCACCACCTCCCTTTGGCCCCACAGCACCACCTCCCTTTGGCCCCACAGCTCCACCTCCCTTTGGCCCCACCTCCCCACAGCTCCACCTCCCAGTGGCCCTACCTCCCACATCCCCACCTCCCCTTGGCCCGGCAACCCTGCCTCCCCACACTACCGCCCGCTTCCAGGTCGCCATGTCATGTGCGTGAGACACAGTGGGCAGATTCTCAGATAAATGTGAGAATTGGCAAGTCCCCTTTGACGCTGAAATCTAATCATAGCTCACAGAGCACATTTCTGAAAGAAAATTGATTTTTTCTCAATTTATTTAAAATTCACCAGAGCATAAATATAATTTTCAGTATAATTGAGAAAGTGCCCATGTGCCTCTTGCTTTCTGGGTGTTACAGCATGTAGTGTTACATCTTTCTTCTCACTGGATGGGGGGGGCTGTCGAAACATGAGAATGCTGTAGACACCAACACCAGCTGGGATGGTGTGAATCAGGTGGCTGTGCGGGGCACACGGGAAGGTGCCGGCTGCCCCTGCCACCTCCGGACTCTGCACTCCGGCTCGGGCTTTGCAGGTCTCCCCGGGTATGTGGAAAAGCTGAGTGGGGGGTTCCCACTGCCCGTCTTCTCAAACCACACTACACCAAAACTGCCAGAGTACAGGGGCTGAGATGCACAGCCTCCATCAGCACCTGGACTCCCTACTGACTATTTCATGTCTAGCCTAGCTAGTCAAATGGCCAGCACCCTGAATATTGCGCCCCCCTATGGCCGTGTGGATATCATGTTTACAGAGCAGAACCGTGGCGTTGTGGGAAGGAGCCGTGCTTTTTAAGAATGGAGCACGGAGAGGAGAGGCCGCAGCCGCCTGTCTGTGGCTCAAGATATTTTTGTCTGTGTGGCGTCTCGGGGGCAAAGACGCAGGCGGGAACATGAGCCGGGTGACTGAGGGCCCAGACTGTCAGAGGGCCACTTCACCGATGCTACAACACCAAAATGGACACTGATATCGGATTTAGCCGTATAGGTTATTACACCCTTGGGCTACGGTTTCCAGCACGATGGTCTGCCGCGCAAGATCGAGTTGCGGCTCTCTCCCCGCAGGGCTCTGGGCCTGGAGGACACACAGAACTTCTCCCAGCAGGCCACAAGTACCACTGTGGAGACCACCGCCACTCCCGAGTGTCACTTTTGTAGAAAGGAAAGCTTAGAGCGTGGCAGTGGTGGCTTGGGCTGCCGCCCCATCACCCTCTGACCACCTGCCTGCCATGACCTCATTTCCTGCCTCGGCTTCCCTTTTAGCCAGGTCATGTGACAGTTAGCAGGTGACACAGTGTGGATTATAATGATATAACCTGTAATTGGCAGTTAGCGACGGCTGAAAGGACACATGACACCGCTGTGTTGTGATTTCGTGGTCAGCACTTTGAATCAGAGAAGTTGTGCTGCAGTCCCAATAAGCAAAGTCACGAAAAAATATCAGAACAAGCATCTCTGAAAATCCCCTTTGTGTGTCACATAACCGGAGTACAAGCACATATTCTTTTTATAGGTTTCTTCCTTGAATCACACGTTCCGTTTGGCATTTTTATCACAATGAACGTGAACTGTTTTGGAGATCCACCTGTGCTGCGAATCTTTTGTTCTGATGGTTTTAATGACCGTACACCCGTGTAAGAAGCACAACTCAACTGCCTTGTCTCACTCTTTCTAATGTTCCTAAAAGACCCTAAGCAGTAAAAAAAAATCCATGATATTAAATGGACAAAAATGGCATTTAGACAAAGTGTCAGAATATAATTCTGCCATTGTAGAACACCAATTTGTTATCCTGCACGCAGGGATTTTGGGTTAAGTACTTCGTCACAGGAGATGCCTGAAGTAGCGGATCCTCCCATGAGACCTGAGAACGGCGTTTCTCCGCCACCAAAACTGCGGTGACCATCTTCCACAACTGCGGGTGACTGACCAGGCAAGCTAGACGGACCGGAGATCTGGGATTTAAGGTAGCGTTTTCCGCGTAAAACCCTCGGACTTCACCATTGGTTTAAGGGTTTGAAACGTGAAAATGTGGTTACCGCGTAATATCGGCTATCGATTGGGTAAGCCCATATCTGTGCAGATCAAGCGGGCTTCGAACTGGAATTAAGTGACAGGGCAAACCACGGGAGGGACTCGGGGCTTCCAGAAAACTCACAGAAACTTTACATCCAGGTCTCCAGTTACCTTAATCATTTAACATACGTCGAAACAGCTGACATCACAGTCCATCTTAAAATGAAGCACGGTAAAACAGACCCGCGTTTTAAAATTAAAGACTCTATGGGAGTTTAACTGAAAAATCTTTCACGGTGTGAGCACTGCGGTGCATCGACGTGTCTGGAAATTTATGCGACAGGCTGAATTCGTAATATTGCTGTCGTGCAGCATTTTATGAGACTTATATTCGGGCAGCTCGCTTCCGCGATCAGCCTGGCCGTAACGAGCAGGACTCCACCAAGGGGCGATGCCTTCTCAGAAGTTCTCACCCACCCACACCCACCGGAAGCGCCCTGGCAGAGCGGACCGTACCTGGCGGTGTTCAGCAGCGGATGTTTAGTTCCCACCAGTTTCCTGACGTGCATCGCCACGTTGCTGAGCTCGTCGCTAAGCAGACAGCGCAAGCTCATGAAAGAGGTCGGATAGCCCACGATTTTCTCAGCATCCGACACCACTTTGCTCCAGCTGGAGGGCGACGTGCTGGAAAACAGGCTGATGCTCCTGCGAGCCGTGCAGAGGCGGCCGATGCAGGACGCTTTGGCTAGCGCCACTGCCATTGTCACGGACTTCAGACTCTTAGTTACTCATTCGAAAGTAAAAAAATGTCTTCCTAAAACCCACTAAGTAATTTTAAATGCTCTAGATGGAACTGTAGCCGAACATCAGGAAGCTGAGCACAAATATATACCCCTTTAAGTAATGACAGTCCAGATTAAAATGTAAATAACAAAAGTAATTGTGCTAATATAAGATACGGTTAGATATTACGAAGATATCGCTGCTGTCTATCATAGGGGTTCCTTTGAATCATCACGTAGACTGTGACATTTTCGGGCAAACATACTCTATACTGCTACGGTCATTTAAAGCCAGCGAATTCCAATTTGTAAGTAACCCGTAGAATCTATTCCGTTATTTAGATTTCGTTAAAGTAGCGCTACAGCGATAAATTACTGAATCAACTGACAAGTTATTGAGTATCGTGTCATTTCAATGGAGGCTGCCATCTTTAACAAACTGGAATTCGGCATGCCGCAAAGCTTAACCTGTGAAGCGCCGGCGCCAACTGGAAACGCCGGATCTAGGGTTCCGCTATACGAATCGTATCGTGCATGTTTGTGGGTTTTCTTTAAATCTTTTTGTTTGTTTGTTTGTTTGTGTGTGTGTGTTTATTTCGCGTTTGGAAATGTATTTTCATAGAGACTTGTGTTCTAGTCAAAACGACAAAGTGTGATTTGGTTTCCATATTCAAACAAAAGTTTTTGAAAGACTTTAAAATGCTTTATGAATATTTTTCGTGCAGTGTCCCTAAGGCATTGTAGGGGATGGGCTTGCACGGTGCTCCCGAAACTCCCTCGAACCTCGTAACATGCACACACTCTCTCGCTCTCTTCCAGCCAGCCTAAGCCCCAGACGACACTGGAGTGGGTTTTCCAGTCTTGGGTCTGTTTGTTTTGGGAGGGCTGGGAGTCTGTGCACTGCTGATATGCACACGATGATTTATGCTCGGCGTTGCTTATTCTCCGGCTCGGAGGCCCCTGCTCTGAGCCAGTCTTTAAAAGGACACTGATAATTAGCCCGTTTTGCAGCACAGCTGACCCACACAACAGCTGCTTTGTCTCCAACCTTTAATAATGATTTTGCCTGATTCCGGATTATGTTTTACGTATCAGTGCCTGACAATCAAATTTGCCTCTGGAGAGTCAGTGCAGAGTGCAGCCTTTCAAAAGCAGGAGTATCACTGTTACTTTGCCAGCAGATGAATTTCACCACAGTCCACTCTGTGCACTTTTGGCCTGGCTGCTTGTGCTAAAGGATTGCAAATCTTTGTGAAACTTTTTTGTTCCTTTTACAATAACCAAGAGTACATTGTAGCCAACGTGGAATTTTATGTTTCCATGGCAATGCAACCTCCCAGGTACTTGGGAACTGTTCTGATTCCTCTGAGTCATGCTGGTTCTCTGTCTTTTCAAACCATTGCTGTCTGTCATGGGGCAGCTACCCATTTGATGGACCATGAGTCCTTGTAGAAACAACAGCTTTATTTCAGTGCACTGAAATGGTATCATCTACATTTACCTCCTCCCAACAAAAAAAATGTGGAATATCGCTTATATGGCATACAAAACCAATGTTCTTGGGTATCTGATGTAAACATTGGGCTACTATTCAATAACACTGTAATAAAAATATAATTGAAATGAAGGATTTGTTGAATAAGATTGTTAAGATCCCTGGAGTTAATTGCCCCGCGGAATTTAATCAGTATATGAATCTAAATTGGTTTTGAAATGTATGATGAAAAAAATGTATCTTCAGATTGACGCTGATGGGATTGACGCTCAGAGTTGTCAAATGAAGCCCTGCCTTGGCGTCATGTCCAGCTGGGGTCTTCAGGGTTCTGTCCTGGGTCGATCGGCACCCGCGTGGCAGAAACTCACCCTTATGAACTCTGGACAGGCCAATTTCTCACATTAATTTTCCTCAGGCAGGTTGGGGGGTGACACTGTAGAGAAGAGTGATCACTTCAAAACTTTTCCATTTTCTTCCCTTGTCCCATCCATCCATCTGTCTGCCCATCCATCCATCCATCCAGTTATTAGTCCACTCAGCTTAGCTATGGTTGTGCTGTACATGATGGTCATGTTCCTGGGACTCTAGGCTCTTCATCACCCTTTTCTCTGATCTTTGGATCTGGGTCCAGTCAGACTAGCAGCGAACCCTGAAAGAAAAAAGAGGCGATTGTGTATTATGTATGTGTCAGTGTATGTGTTGTGCATTCGCCTGCTTGCACGTGCAGATGCGCGTGTGTGGGTACAGCCCCTCTCCCTGCCGCCCCTCTCCCAGCCGCCGGCTGCTCCCGCAGCAGGGGGTGAAGGGGGGGCTGCTGGGGAGCGCATATCCTTCACACATTGGCTCCTAATTACGCCCGCTTAGGATGATGACATCGCCGTGTGCAGCCACACACGCAAATGCACAAACGCCACACATGCAGTGATTGATGAATGGAATGCAGGAGTGCTGAGTGCGGGAAGGTGAAGCTGACCTGTGCACGATGCCTTCAGCCTAATCCACTGCCATGTAAACTCCACGTGAGCGAGGAATTAAACTCCCATGATTAAACCACACACTCTCCATGAGGTGCAAAGGCCTGATCTGGCTTCACACAACGGGAATAATTATCGGAGTTTCTTCAGTCTGCTCATTAATTTTAATCCTTTTTGGCTACCAAATACTTTGGAGTCAAATTCATTTTCAGCAGGTCCTTTGCAGCTGTGGGGGAGGGGCATTCGCAGCAGAGCCCTCTGACTGGCATTTATTATTTATTTATCTTGTCAGCGTCAGCCTCTTCGGTGGTTGAATGTTGAAAACAGCCTGTTCCTGATTTTTACAATGAAATTTGACCTGGGGTTACTCCTATTTGACACAGGAAGACCACTGAATAGTTGATAAACCACAACCCCCCCACCATGCATCACCTTAGCAGAGAATGGCTGAGAGCCAGGTGGAATGACCCCACCCTACGTTCCCTGGTCGGGCATCCAATCATCCTGCAGTGATGCGTTTGGTCTGCGTTATCGGAAATCTTCTTCCTATATTTTTTTATTTTTGCTGGCCTGATGTTAATTATTCCAGTCTCGGGAAAGAGCAGCTTTACAGGAGTGAAGACAGAGCCCTCTACAAAAAAGCCAAATGCCGGCTGGAAAAGGGGATCAGAACAGCCAAAAACAGAGACTCTAAAAAGCTAGAAAAACAGTTACTAGCTAATCACTCCTATTCAGTGTGGAAAAGCTTGCAAGAGATGATACAAAAAGAAATTGTCACCCTCCACTGAGGATCGTCAACTTGCCAACGATCTTAACACGTTCTACTGCTATTTTGAAAGGGATGTTCCAGGTCTGTCACCTGCTCACCATTCATCAATACCACACACCATACAGCCATTATCCTCAGCAATGCCTTCACCTCCACCATTATCTGTGAAAAAGAGGTGAACAGCCTATTCAAGAAACAGGAAACAAAGAAAGCATCTGGCCCTGATGCTGCATCTCCAGCCTCCTTGAAGTATTGTGCCGATGAGCTGGCACCAGTATTCACAGGCATCTTCAGTCAATCTCAAAACCTCTGCATTGTTCCAGCCTGCTTCAAAGGTTCAACAGTCATACCAGTTCCCCAAAAAACAAAAACTCATGGCATGAATGACTACAAGGCACCCTGACATCAGTAGTCACAAAGACTCTTGAAAGACTGGTGCTTGTCTACCTGAAATCCATTACAGTCTCCCTGTTAGACCCTCTGCAATTGTGTATAGGACAAACAGGTCTGCAGACGATGCTGTCAGCATAGTGCTCCACTTCATCTAACAGCATGTGGAGTCTCCTGCAACCTAAGTCAGGAACCTGCTTATCAATTTTAGTTCTGCATTCAATACTATAATCCCATCTCTGTTAGAAACCAACCTTATACAGTTAACTGTTCCTGGTGCCACATGCCATTGGATTACTGACTTTGTGACTGACTGGAAACGCGAGCATGTGAGGCTGGGGATGATCACCTCGGACTCCTTGACCCTCAGGGCTGTGTATTGTCTCCTCTGCTCTACTCCTTACGTACAAATGACTGTACTTCTGGAGACACATCTGTAAACCCTCTGAAGTTTGCAGATGACACTACATTAATTGGTGTCATACAAGATGGAAATAAATCAGTGTACAGGCAGGAGGTGGCCCGGCTGGTCTCTTGGTGCAGCCGAAACAACCTGAAGACCGTGGAGATGGTTGTGGACGTTAGGAGACGACCCCGCCAGCCACTTCCCCTCATCATCAGTGGCACAGAAGTAATCCAAGTAGAATCATTCAAATTCCTTGGGACCACAATCTCACAAAACCTGAAATGGGAGGTCAAAACTGTCTCCATCATCAATAAGATCCAACAGACGATGTTCATTCTCCGATAGCTGAGGAAATTGAAGCTGCCACAAACACTGCTGCTGCAGTTTTACACTGCTGTCATACAGTCTGTCCTTACACCCTCCACGACTGTCTGGCTTGGTTCATGCACTGTGAGGGAAAAGGCAAAACTTCAGAGCATCATCTGCTCAGCAGAAGAGACCACTGGGTGGAATAGCTCTACAACAACAGGTGCAGGAAAAGAGCAAAGGAGATCACCACTGAGCCAACACACCGGCCAATTCCATCTTCAGGGGAGAGATAGACTGATAAAACTAGAGCTACAAGGCAGAGAGAAGCTTCTTTCCAAGGGCTACGATGCTCCTCAGTGACGGATCACATGGATCTCCATCCCAGTAACATAACATGCTGCATTGGCAGATTGAAGATTAATATACTTATGCCTAATCCCACAAAACAGGATAAGAGCAGTGATATTGTTCAGTACTTAGTACTGTGTATATTGCTAATCTTGACACACAGTGTACATTGCCTAACATTCAGAAATCTCTTTAGTTAATGCAACTAGTTTAATGTAAAAAGTTTGCCGCAGCCACACTGTGAAATTGTAATTCATAGCTTAGTACGTCATACTGTATTCCATTTTTTTGTTACATGCTGAATGTTGCACAACCATTAGCGATCTCACTATCTAATGCACTGACTCACTTTGGTTACAGCTAGTTTGTATAGAGATTTAGAGTATACAGCCGCGGGGAAAAGAAGGGACCACAGCACAACGTTTTGTTTCATTCATTTCTCAATTTATGGGTGAACATCTGTGAATAATACTTTTCATGAGAAACTGTCGTATAAGTTAACATTCATCTCTGGCATTAGAATGTCCCATCTGCCCTCTACCTGGCTGGTTTCTGGTTATTCCCAGTGTCTCCTGCTTCACCTTGTTCTTGTGCACTGCTGTCTTAGACATTTTGAATCTGGAAGCAACCTGCTGCTCAATGTAGCCTCTGCAGGACCAGGATCAAACTAGGATGGTCTCTTAATGTTTGTGGCTGTATATATTTACTGTTTGCATTATTGCAGTGTGGTTTATTTAATACTTTATTTAATTATTTAACGTTTATTGTCTTGTTTGCATTGGAGCGAGACGTCAAGTCAAATTCCTTGTGTCACTGTACTTGGCCAATAGAACTGATTCTGATGATTTTCTTAACATGGCTGTTTTGTGTATCTTCTTAGCTCCTTTGTAAGATTACCTCCCAAATGAAATGCAGTATTCCGTGCTGGGAATGGTGCGGCACACGCCGGCATACAGTGCGCTGGGAATGGCAGACGCCTTCCAGCCCCACCTTCTGTGACGCCCAGCATTCCATCTTTCAGCATTATCTGTCATTTTACTGCGACGTCCTGCTGCTGTTTCTCTGTTCATGATCCGCACAGGTAAATGCTGTCCAACTGAATTCAGTTGAAAAGAACATGGCACCCACAGCTACATGAGGCGGGCAGCCCGTCCAGCGTTCTGTGTCAGGCCATCCCTGGGGGGTTGTCATTGTTTATTTTGAAGCAGCGTTTACCTGCCTGCTCTCACCTCAGTGTGTGCATGTCTGACATTGCAGGATTCGATGTGTCGGCTTGTTGATCTGGAACTTTGATCTTTTAAGAGCAATGTGATGGTCCACCCCCCAATGGGAGTGTGTTTCTGTGCCACCCCCACTCCACAGACAGGGTTGGCAGCCTGACATGGGGTGAGATATCGGTGCCCTGCCTCGGCAGAGCTGTCTGTGAGGCCGTATAGGGGCAGGTTGTGGTCGGCCCAGGTTCCTCCAGACACGCTTCTGGTCAGTGTGTGCCTGGGTTTGATGCTAATCCTCCTGCAAGTACACTTCACAGCGATGATGAAGATGAAGATGATTATGGTAATTAAGAAGGGTTAAGAAGCACAAACTGGGTGTCTGCCTCAGTGCATTTGTAAGAAGGACTCGTGTGTTCAGCTGCTGTGCGAAAGAAGTGTGTCTACAGGAAGCATCATGGGGTGACAGTGCAGCATCAGTCATGCATCACATGTGGCTCGTCAGTGATCAAAATCTATTGTGATGTGGAGAGTTTATGGTAGCTGTTCTCCTGTTTGTTTGCTCACTTGGGAATGACTGCATGGATATTGAAATTTTGAAATATTGTAATTCTATCTGCCTAGTAGGAATCCGAAAGCTCAAATATCCACAGGGTTTAGATTGCAGATCCAAGTTGCCCTGGCTGCTGGCACTGAGACAGGGGACCTTTTCACTTTGGTTCATTTGGAAAACAGCCTGTTAGAGAGTGAGAGGCGAACGGGGAACTGTGTGGTTACATGGTGACACCAAGGACGGTGCTAAGAGACCTTTGGAGAGCACTGTGGGGGCCAGGCGGCTGTGCCTTAGGACTTCCCTCTGCACACTGCGCCTCACAAACGCCCTTTAAGTGTGTGTGTATACATATATGTAAACACAGAGAATTTGTTTTCAGAGGCCAGGAGCTGCGGACCCGCCGGCGACAGTTGCTAGCGACCGCTGACGGGTGCGAGAACCTGCTTCCATTCAGGCGCGACGCGCGGCAGTGCGAGCAGCGAGTGAAACGGTATCCGCGGGGAAGTGGGAGGAAACCGCCTCGCCGGGATCCGCGCCTCGGATAGGGTTACCGGCGAGGCCCCGCCCCCCTGTCTGGGGTGTTCTCAGCCCCTCGGCCGCTCGCAGAAAGAGCCCTCACCAGCTCGCCAGCGCACACACTGGAGACCGGGCGGCAGAAGATGGCTGACTTAACCGGGCATCGCGGACCTCCAGCGGCATCATCATCGCGACTGACGGCCGCCGCTGCCCGCTTCTGAAGCGGCCCCCTCCGAGACACCCCCCCAAGCCCCAACGCACCCCCGCCACCACCGCCGCCTGACACCCGTCTAGGCTTGCCCACCACCGCAAATATTGACAGAAATAATAGGGGAAAATGGCAGAGATGGAGAAAGAGGGCAGACCCCCGGAAAATAAAAGGAGCAGGAAACCGGCTCACCCAGTGAAGAGGGAAATCAACGAGGAGATGAAGGTACGGTCGGAGTGGCCGCTCGCCTCGCCCGTCGTGTCATTTGTGCGGAAATAAAGAAATCGCAAAGTGTCGCTTGTCATTTTCACGGATGCGTTGCGCGCCTCAGCTCCGCCACCAGGCTTTGAAACAGGCTAGAAATCACAAGTCCCTTAGATAAACTGGATAATTGGCCAACTTTGATTTTTTTTCGTCCTCTTGCATGCTTGTTGGCTGTATGTGCGTGCTTTGTTTACGTGGCTAAGTCTCAGCACAGCGGTCTGCGCTTCTTTCCACGTTCCCCCCACCGACGAAGTACCCTTCCTTTTGTAGTAACCAAAACGCAAGTTGAATGACAACGGATCTTTGCCTTTACGTAGGTTACACATAGGCGCACTCCGTCCCCTGTTTCTCTGCGGTTCATGAACACCGTTGTCCTGTCAAACGACTGCTTACAAATTTCTTAATGTTGCAGTAATCGTCCTTTTCCTTTCCGTTGCTCCTTTCGAGTTAGTGGAAATTTCAGTGCGTCAGTCTCAGCAGGAGCGTTGCCGTCGCTACTCTCAGTACTACGCACTACAACCGCTGCAAAAAAAAAAATGTCGATGGCGTTAAGACAAGACGAGGGGGATCTGAGGCGTGAAGGGAGGTGTACTTTTCGTTTTCATTTTGACACGTTTCTCCGTGACCGGCACCGTCGTGTACGCCAGCGGAGCGATGCCAACCCAGCTGTGGTGGCGGAGGAGCGCTGGAGGCGAGCTTTCCAGATGTGCACCCGCCCGCACGCCTCGCACAGGGGCGCATTGTTCCGCCCGGATACGCTCAGGCTCAGGACTTGCGAGCGGTTTTCCCCGCGCACGTTGTCTGTCGATCTTTTTTATTTGTGTTGATGGGTGAATGTGACAAAGCGTGGAATTTGTGGGAGGAATCGGAGCGGCTTTGTCTACGGGTGTTCTCATTGTTTGTACACATCGGCTGCCCCCAGGGGTGGGACGGACGTGGGCTATCTCTTATTTAAAGCCCGATGTTGTCTTACGGCACGCCTGCATCATATCAGAGTGAAACATTGTATCCCGTATAATTCACGTCCACTAAGGAGGAGGGGGGGGGGGGGCTTTATTTGCCTGTTTGTGAAGTGGCCGACTTCACCGTCGTAGTAGCTTTTCGTCTCCAAACACCTGCCAGAGGACAGTCACTTGTGGGGGTCCCTACTCTGGCGCCGGGGGTCCCCCATCCATACTGACCTGCGGGAATCGGTGCGTACTGCCCCCTCCTCCCCTGGACCGTTAATGATTCAGTGGAGCTTTCTCTTGTCATGTATGTCTAATCCAAATATATGAAAAGACTGGCATATTGTATAACGGATCGTGACAGCGCTGGTCACACGCGCTGCTGCCGCGAGGAAGTCCGCTCTGCAAGCAGCGTCCGTTTCATTGCGCGTTCCATCGGCGAAAGGAGCATTTTGCAGTTTGCCGCCGTTAAGATCGCCGAGACCACGAATCACCGTCGCGTGTTGTGCTCAGACAGAGAAAATGCGTCTAAACGATAAATACGTCGTGCTGGTTGTAACTTTGTAGCGGATCCTGAGAAAGGAAGTGCGGTCTTTGTGCAAACTATATGAATTTTTCGCTATCCA